CTTTCGCAGCTTACGCCCATTGTGAAACAGCCATCCGCAGGTCATCGCGGTAGTTTTGAGCAAATGTGTGTTCGAAACGAAAATGTCAGCGTGTGTGGCTTCTTAACCTTTGAACGTGTGATTTCCGCCTGTCACCAGTCCGGCTGAGATACCTGTTTCACGTAACAGGCTGGACATTTATCTTGCCTCATTGCGACTCTCATAATTTCCAGGAGAAGCGCGAAGCGCGGAAGAAGCGCCAGAAGGTGCGCGAGGAGCTGGGCGAGGACGCGCCGCCGGTGCTGCAGCCGCACACCATCGAGACTCTGCGCATCCCGGACGTGACGACCGTGCAGCAGGACGACTTGGAGACGCAGGAGGCCGACCGGCTCGACGAGTTCGGCGGCTACTTCAGCCGCGAGGCCGAGCCGCGCGTCATGCTCACCGCCGGCGACTTCCCGTCCCCGGTGAGCGCGGCGGCGACCGCGCGTGGCGCCGGCCGGTGCGCCGCTCGGGCGGCGGTGGTCACAGCGGCTCTGTCGGGCGTGACGAGGGCTATGGTGTGGGGTGCTGCTGGTTGGTGCGTGGCGAACCATGTGCATGTCGTTTCCTGCCGTCTTTGATGATACACACGGTCGGTATTGCGCCAGACGCCGAGCAGTGAGCGTACGCATGAAGATTCGCATCCCAGAAGCCTGGTATTTGCCGCACGTCTTTGACGGACAAAATTGATTTGAAATGCGGTTATCGTCAGCACAAAGTCTCGTAATTCCAAGTAATTACGTGCCTAAGGCTTTGTCAATCAGTGATATGTTCCTGGTATGGTGCTACCAAGATGCTCGTCTGAACACTTCAGGGAAAGACGAATGGCGGGCTCGTCTTACGCTGCGAGTTTGGTGATCCGCTTTGTGTTCACGGGAACGTTCTCCGCCTGCAGAAGACGCGCGACTTCCTGAAGGAGCTGGCGCTGGTGATCCCGAACGCCGAAGTGCGACTGCGCAACTTCAGCTCCATCAAGAAAACGGCACGGTTGGCCTCCGCGCGCGGCTTCACACCGACCTGCTCATCATCAACGAGGACAAGAGCCGCAAGGTGGTGGCCAACGGGCTGCTGCACGTGCACCTGCCCGACGGACCGTCCGCCCACTACCGGCTGAGCAACGTCAAACTGAGCGCCGAGCTCCGGGTATGGTTGGCCGCACCGTCGGCCGGGCAGGGGGGGGGGGGAGAAGTCAGGCTGGCCGGGTTGGCTGAAAATTGTCGAGGCTGTGGTTCTGTGCATTCAACTTTTAAGCTCCTACCTTCGTGCCGCCGCCAGAAGCCGCCGTGGACCGTTCAGGTATCCCGCTCAGCCTGCTTGTTACATTACGTCATTGTCGGGTTTGTGACATTTGAGGTGTGTTGGGCCGCACGTTGCACAGCGCGCTGTGGCAGGGGAGGGCGTAAATTAGGGGAACAGTGCCGGCAGTTGCGTTTCATCGGCGCAAATGCTCATTTGTGCGATGATTATTGTTACGCAATGCTGGTTAAGTCCAATGAATCAGTGCGGGGTGTTCCGGAGAACACAAATTTATCTTGATTATTGAGGAAGAAACTGCATGCGTGATTATTAACCCGCGAATTCGTGGCTTTTGCAGCGCATCAAGGAGTTCACACCCACCACCGTCCGGAGGTGGTGCTGAACAACTTCACGACCATGCTGGGTCACAGGGTGGGCCGCATGCTGGCCTCGCTGTTCCACTTCGACCCGGAGTTCAAGGGCCGGCGCGTGATGACGCTGCATAATCAGCGAGACTACATCTTCTTCCGACATCACAGGTGCGGCCTTAGAGTGGCGTCGTTCTCGGCGTTGCCTGCTCGTCAGACGTCGGCTGGGGCTATTGAGCGCCGCGCCGGCCGTGGCCGCAACCGCCGTCGAGTGTGGTGATGATGACCCCTCGGAGTTCGGTGCAGCCCGAGTGTTTTACTTGTTTTCTGTCGCAAATGTTTCAGACTTTGTTTTTGGAAGATGCCTGGCACCTGAGGGCTTAATTTTTAGGGTGATTCCATTGCAACTTAAATTTTTGAGTTCATGCATCATTTCGCCGAAAATAAGTGGCGATAAACGTAGTTGTATTCTAAAGTATCGGATAAACGCCGCATGGAACAGCACGATTGGCCGTTTGAAACAAAATCATGTTTGGCTAGGGAAGGTTAGGTTAGGTTTAGTTATGTTAGGGATGGCATTGGAAATAGACGTACCACGGTAAGTACCGTAGAGTGGTCATGGCAGGAACTTAGTCAAAAATCAGCTTGGGTGGCCATTGCGTTTCCCTCAGTCTATTGGACTTGATGATATGACGTGCAGTCAGCATGAGTAGTACTCCCCGAATGCGTCGCGCTGGTCGTGGAGAATGCAATCGCAGAGTTGGTGGCATAAGGTAGCGCAACTGTGTTGGGACCGTGAGCATTACGTTCCCTTTATTGCGCGTACTGCATCACGGTTTTTTGTAAACATCGGCGTGTTGGTTACCGTGTGTAGGACCATAATTGGGTTGTTGGACTTCCTTCGTTGCTGCAGATAGCCATCGTGAATCAAGGCTCAAAGCGTCACACGCCAGAAATTCAAAAGCCAAGCGTTGCTACGGGTTTTGTGTTGGCGGCGGTAAAGTACACACCTCTAACACAATCGACGACAGCTGGGTTTTGATAGGCACGTTTGCTCCATTTATACAAGTTACTGGGAACAATAAAAAAGCTTGGGAGCTGGTACACGTGGTGACCATTCATAAAACGTGAAGACTTATGCTACGTTACGCTAAAGACTTTCACCACACTCCGAAGTGCAAACCAGGGTGCGATCCGCCAGGTAGTCACTCGGCATTGGGTAAAGCTTCGTGGCCTCGGTTTCCCTGCTAACGCGTCCAACCAGAGCGACCGTGTCGCCTGGGTTGGACGTTGGCGTCCGGCCACTGCGACGAATGACCCATACGCGGTCGGATATAACTGGCATGGGCCATGCTCTACGTGGCCCAGCCACGTAGTTTTGTTTTCGCAAGAGGCGTGCGACGGATGTCTGTGAATGTATACAAAGAAGCAGCGGTAATATGTGAAGCCACAGCAGCACCGTATCAAACAGATTCCATTCGGCTACCGGACACCCTGCCATACTGTCTTGAGGTTCAGGAAGTCTCCATTTCAGGGCAACGCTGAGCCAGGATGCTGTTGTGCAGACCCGATCTGTATGGTTCTGCCCCTGGAAGCGCTGACAACATATATTTAAACGAGCAAATGACAGGGGAGCCTCGGGACGTTTTTATTTTTCATTTTCTTGTTGTTTGTGTACTATCATCGGGTGTTGGCCCATTTCTGGAATTAGCAGCGGGTCATAAAAGCGACCGTCGGCTTTTTAAGTTTCTCCCAGTTCTGCATCTTGCTGAGCGCCTTTGTCAAACGGCTATTGACTGACCGCAACTGGAGTTGATGAATTCCACGATTTCTTCAGTACTCCCTGGCTACTTACTCTTCCTTTATTCATTTGTTTTTTTTTTTTGCGTTTGTGTAGAATGCCGACACTATAGCAACCTTGTGTTATCACGTACGTAAATACGAAATTCCTTCGCATGTTCTGTCCGGTAGTAACGCGCTCAAGGTGTCCAGCGCGCGTCCAGGTCGGGGATGATCACGATCCCCTGGTTGGGCGACGAGAATTGAAATCCTCTGAAATGCAACATAACATACTGGTATACATCAAACGCCTCTCACTACACCCCACTCGCCACACCACCGTGATTATTACCACTTGTCGACTCCCCCATGCTTGGGTCGTAGCATTACTGTGACCGCGGAAGATACGTCCGCAAGATACGGCCTGCCGCGGCCGCATCTCGCGGACGGCGTCCTGCTCCCTATTGGCCACGTGTGGCTAAGCTGAGACCCCACGCCGGTCGTCTTGTGACGTCGCGTTGTCTCTGTGTATGGCGCCTGGGCACTTAAGGCCGCGCAGTCGAAGCGCCCGAAAGCCCAATTACAGGACTCTGACTCTGTTGACTCTGCGCTTGTTACCGTGTCTGACGGCATGATGAGAGGCTTTGGTGTCGTGACCCATATTGTGACGTTTCCTCATCCGTGCAGATGTGGTCGCGACACTCGTTTAATGCTGCTTATGGTTTCAAACGGGCAGTTGCGTTGAAGGACGGAGGCCCCGTGTGCATTATTTGGCGTCACTGGCCTCTGTACTGTTCCTGTACTGAGCCCGCTCCTGTCATCCCTGTTTCTTCAGGTACGAGTTCAAGGACAGCAAAAAGGTGGCGCTGAGGGAGCTGGGGCCGGCGCTTCACGCTCAAGCTGCGGTCTCTGCAGAAGGGCACGTTTTGACTCCAAGTGCGGCGAGTACGAGTGGATCCGCAAACGGCACGAAATGGAGGACAGCCGCAGGAAGTTCCACCTGTAGGTGGAGGTGTTGTACGTCCCGCTGATGACGCCTGACGGGCGCCGGAACGGGGCCGCGTGGACACGGCGGCAACGTGTGTCGGGGAAGCTGTCCAGTTGAGCATCGCAAGTTTTGTGATAGCTGGTGGTGCAGGGCGCGTTGGCAATGTGTGGGTCTTCAAGAGGTCTTCAAGCCGCGGGCGTTTTCTCGCAGTTGGGGTCCGAAACACGCTGATTGCTATTCATAGAATAAAGATGTATGGAACGTCCCACCAGACTTTCGAGATTTCCTTTTTCCGCCGAATCAACAGTTTGTCTGACGCCAAAGTACCCTTCACGCCTGACAGTGCCGTCATGTTGGCTGACGTCATAACGTGACGCAGCGTTGTTGCAGCACACATTGCGGATGGCACGCCTCAGATGTGCTCGGGCCGACTGCTGACGTCGATGGGTTGATGTATACTAATTTGGTGATTCCCGCCGTCTTTTTGCTCGATATTTCCCGGATATGTTTGTGGTCTATGCTTTTTCTCTCCAAAATGACCCGAACAGGTCAAAGACAAGGAGTCTCGAAGGACTGATGCAGTACGCGAATGTGGAGAGACTCACACCCATCTTTTCGCTGTATATTTCCCGAGCTATTTCTTTGGTTGATGCTTTTTTTCTTTGCAAACACTAAATCGGGCGTAAAATGTGTCGAAGCATTTACAGGACGCCAAGTGTTTGGCAAACGAGCGCGTGGTAGGAAATAGCCAGAAGAGCCTGCGACGATGGCACCTCTCTGCCACCTTCCGTCCGACGAGGTCGTACAAGTCTCGAGAGAACTGAAGATGCTGTACAGCATGCATCGTGACAGGCTCGGTCGCTTGGATCATGGGCAGTCCCTGGGAACGGAAGAAATCGCTGTGCAAGCACACACGCGACGGAAGGATGGGCGGGTGTGTGATGTCGCAGTGGCAGCAAGCCGTCTCATGGCTGCAAACGTTTTTCTCTAGAAATTGAGCCCGACATTTGGGTCAGACCACTTGTCATGTATGGCTTCTTAAGGGCCTGGATTCGTCTACTTCAACAGATCAGCTATAGCTCAATGAGCCTTATCTGCATGCGCGCGCATGTTATCATGTTCGGTAAAGCTATGGCACGGGCGCCGCCCTCTTGATCAGTGCGCCACTGGTCACCCCCAGTGCAGTGACTTGGGCGCGAAGGCACATGTCTGTCACACTGGTCGGATGTCGAGCATTCTACCAATAGAGCTACGGAGGTGGAATGCCAGTGCTGAGCGCGGTTTTAAGTGGTACGCAGAATACGTGCTCATCCAGAAATGATGTGATTTCATTGAGCGGAACATTCAGACGGGCTGGAGAATGCGATGATTTATGATGGGTGGAAGAATAGCACCAAACGTCTCCTAGTATACGACACATTGAACCAATGAACAGACCGCTCGTGCGTGTTCAGTGTCTGACCTTTAATCGGTTTCCACAAATAGCAACTACCTCACCGCACTGCATGCTTTATGGCTGGTGTAGGGGAGCGTCCTGCTGGCTGTTATTTGGCGCCTGCGTATCGAAATCCATAGTTAAGAACAAAAAGTGGATTAAACAGGTTACTGCAGTGTCTTTATGCGTACTTCGGTAAGTGGAAGGAGACCCTCTAAAACCTTTAAGGCTTGGAGAAGACGGATCTGCTGGATCTCTATTACCTTTAAGGCTTGGAAAAGAAGAATTTGCTGGTCGTAGTCTTCTTCGCTAGCATTGAAAAATCGCACAAAGCAGTCGCGGCCATCAGCAAAAACTTCCGTTCCCTGAAACAAAAACCAATGAAACACGCGGCATGCGACAACCGGCAGCTGTGTCTAGTCGTGCTTCAATGCATTCGCCCATGTGCGTAGTAGAAACGGAACTATCCAGTGTTTTCCGCAGGGTTACAGCTTTTCACCGAAATCAAATGGATCCCAAAACCTAGGTGAAGGACCAGGTGCACATCGTACCTTAGCGAAGTCTTTAACGGTTTCTCTTGCATGACATGCGCCTTGACCACGGCGAGATGTGATGACGTGGCTTATCTGAAGTAAGGCGTCAACCTGGGTTTCAACTCGAAGTTCGTCTTCCAGCCGCCTGATCTGCACTGTGTAATTGCGACGCCCAATGGTTTGAAGTATGCCATCAATGGTCTGTAGCAATGCGAAAAGACACAGAAATATGATCCGATAGCAGTGATACAAGATGATTACCGATAAACAAAACAGTAACACATTCACAATAAATCTGCAAAAAACTTTTGAAACTTATGCTTCCACGGCGTTCATTCTGGTGCGACCTCTCGGGTGAACTAAGTCGCATCACGAGTTTCTGTTCTTCAGGCATGTCGTCCTGCTAGACAGCCTTCAAACGACTGGACTGTCTTGAGATTTTCAGTAAAACTATCCAACTGATGGCAGTTAAACCCCCTTAAGTTGTGCTTAAAAGCATAAGTCCATTCTAATGGAAATAATTCTGCACCACTGCAAATTTATACCTTCT